GGAAAGAATAGTAATCATTTCAAGTGACACTGACCTAAAACCTGTCTGTGGGTACCAGTAATAGATTCTTGCACAGTTGGTTTCTCTTCAACGAGAGAATAAAGAGTGAGGGGTGAGAGGAGCTTAAAGGCACGGTCCGCATTAAAAAGCCTAGGTGATCTTGATCTTCCAGAAATGTGGAAGAAAATTCGCCAAGTAAACCATCTATGAAGAGAAAATGTCCAAAGGGAACGTTGGAAACGCATTCGTCAGGCCTCCTCTAGCCTCAAACAACTGTAGAGGTAAAAGACCGAAAAGACCGCGCGCTGGGACAATTCCCGTCGGCTGATTCCCAGTAATGAACCCTATGACTCTACAAGAGACATTGAATGCATACGGGTATGTGACAAGAGAATCGTAACTCGCCGCGCTGATGGGCTTCGCGTGCGACGTCGCGTCCGTAATCGGCTCCGGGTCGTAGATGGCGAAGGCAATTCAGAACCGAAAATAGTCATGAATGTCTACGATGACGGGGTCTACATGAAGTCCGGTGCTCCAATCGACAGGTTAACACGAGTTAAGAAAACCGCGCATCGCCGCGCGCGGCGGAGCGGCAAACTACGATTCTCTTGCCCGTCTCCCAATGCATCCACTCCATGATACTTGCCCGAGAGCATTACTTTTGGCTGGAAGGCCGACTTTGGAGGCGGAGTCTGGAGGCGGAGTCACTGGAAAAAGGGATGTACCACGTGCCTTAATCCTTTTACCGTACAACTTTCCGCCGCGAAACTGGCACAGGGTTGTCCACTCCGGACCGCACTACCTTCCCACATAACCTCTTGCATTTTCATAGGTCATCGCGGACCGCTCCTTTAATGTTCAAGAAAAGTATCGTTCACGGCAGCTGCGGGTTTCCAACTTTATCGCAATATTCACGAACCACGAACCATTATCCCTTCATTTTTTTGGGCTTCAGAGTACCATTCCATGACAACGCGCTGGGCTGATACTCATGACTATTGCGCCTTATTTATCCACCCTGACCGAAGGACGGAGCGCGCACCAGTGAGTAGGAGTGCCCCCACTTTTTGTCTCTTCCAGTTAACGTGAAATGCAGTGTTATGAACAGTTTGCAATAAAAAGGTGTCACTTCCAGTTGCAACACTGAATAGTGCTGGCCCTAATAATCCCTAGGAAAAGCTCCGCCGCGGCACCAGTGTGTCTCAAAGCACTCCATTAAAAATGGATTTTGGGCACACCCCTTTAGTTAACTCCCTTTTGAGAAGGAGTCCGGCTACCGCGAACAACACCTTCAACTACTTAATTCAAACACAAGTTGTCCCTGTTTTAGTTGTCTTGGGAATCACATAGTGAGTTGCAGATGGGACACTTCAGTGACGTGAGATGTCGTTCGATTTCACCTGAAAGTAAGAAAAGTCAATAATCAATAATTGCATTCATAAGACGTAATTTACAGTGCTAGACCTCGTGGAGCTCTATGAATTAGCCAAGCTTGGGCATAAAAAAGAGGGAAGGGTGCAAACGAGAATCCGGTTTGCAAGGCACATTCCGCGTGGATCTTATGGGCACCATTATAGCTTTAAGTTGATCGAAGGCATGTCCTGCGTTCAAAAATGGTGATTTAGGCGGCGGCTCAAACACTATTCCCGGAATGGTCCATGTAGAATCTGATGGTAAACCGCGTTAGGACGTGCATAAGGCTTCTGCTTATCATCCCACTCTCACCAATTGAAATGGAGGGAATAAAAAGTGGAGCAACCGCACCATAAGCTAAGGCTGCGTTCATACACTCGAGATCCCTGAGATCGGGTAGGCGTGGCCGCATGTTTCAACTTACCCTTAAGGCGTCTACGCTTC